ACAATACATGGTACATTGGGCCAAATCTCATTATTGTGTAAATATTATATTATAGCACTATTTTATTTTCATGTTATATTATTTTATGTTAAGCAGAAAAAATAATTATTTTTGTAAAGGTACTATTCCAAGTAATAATTTAAAATTAATTGTAACCGATAGAAAAATAATATCCAATGGTTTGTCGTAGGCGGAAATAATCGCTGACTCAGGTCAGCCGGTCTGCGAAAACATCACGTAAAAAAGGCATCAGTTTAGCATCATCGCTTGATAAATACTTTAAATAGTTCTGGCGATATATTTTGTATTGATTATATTAGTATAAATTAAGAATAGAGACTATTATTTCAGTTAAGCTATTTAGTTTTATTCCATTACATAATTTTTATTGAAGTTATTTCTAAATTACAATCCATTGGATTAAATTTAAAAGCAACTATAAGTGACCAGGGTAGCACCAATAGAGGCGCCCTACCTATTAATTTACGAAAGAAACATTGGATATCTTTTTTTTTTAATTTAAATAAAAAAATATTTATATAGGTACTTTATGACACCCCTCATTTGTTAAAAAGTACACGCAATTCATTGCTGCGTTGTAATATTAAATTTGAAAATGATAAATTTGCCAAATTTGCACACATTATACAAGCATAAAACATTCATATAAAGCAAAATTTATTTCGAATTTTGCCTAATTATCAGACCAGCATTTTAATTTTAAAAATTCATTCACATTGATTATTTGGATTTCTCGCACCCAGCGGATTTATTCCGGAGTAAAAGCCTTCTCACATGGTAAGCCATCTTGCTTTTTTGGTTTAGCACAAAATTCCTTATGTTAATATCTTTATTTAGTTCATCGTCCCGACAAAGCGATTGACTTAGACTGCACCCTCCATCGTGTCAAGATTTTATCTAAATCTTTAAGACACCAGCGTGAGTAAAGTCGATTTTTGTGTTTGTTGCTAGGTGTTATATATACACTCCAATTGGACATTCCAAGTTACACTCTAATTGGACAGTCTTCTCATACAGGTCAAATTGTACACCCCAAATTGTACACTCAATCGTAGAGTTCAAATTGCACACTCCAGTTGTACAGTCCAAATTGTATACTCCAATTGGACAGGTCAAATTGTACCAACAGAATTCAACAATTATTGTTTCCAAATAAATAATGAGTCAACACAAAGATCTAAGAAAGCGCATCAAAGACTTGGACGACAAGGGAGGTCAACAAATCCTGTCAAATGCTTCAAAGGACTTTGAAGCAGGGGAGTTTTCCCATGCGAAGACATTTCGGAATAACGAAACCGCTTTTGACAGTCTGAACATTTTTGAGTCCCTGACTGATGCAGAGGAGGATGACGGAAATCTGACTGATGACTTGAAGGATGAAGATGATTTTATTTTCAAAGAATCAGAAAGCTCTGATGAAGACTTAGATCAGATCATCTCTTTAAAGGATGCGAAAAATATTGCACAATCTGTAGTAAAAGGATTTAAGCCGAAAGCATTCACCCTGAGGGTTGGAGAAGTGGAGGTGGGAGCAGTGCGAAGTTTTGTCAACTGGATCAATCAAGTGACGGGGGTTACTGCATTCAAGCTTTGTGACAGCAGTCTGACCAGCTTTGACATCCTGTACTCAAGGAACAACATATCTCCTGTTGAGAGTAAGGAGGAGACTTTGTCGAATATCGGACAGACGCCCCTCAAAATGCATGAGGGAGAGAGTACACACACACCTCCTAGAAAGAAGTGTACCAAGATTCAGAAGTCTGATACACCAGAAAGTGAAGTCTATCCTCAATTGGAAGCTGGTGTCAAATATCCTGATAGAAAAAATGACAAAAAGTTCCTCCTTATAAGCTATGACACTCCCGGATTCAGCGGCAGAGAAATCAGAGATTTCATACAAGAGAGTCCGAGCATAACCCTCAAACAACTCATAGAAAGAGTATATAAAAATAGGGGTGGTTACCAAATGGTCAAAAGAAAGTATGACTTAGACAACCCATCAGAGTAAAATCTGAACTTTAAGGATTTGCTACACACTTCAATCGTACAGTTCAAATTGTACATTTTGTAATGAACCATTAGTAATTCACCGCAGTTTTCTGTTACCTGCAAGAAGTAGTACATCCACCAGCCAACAGATGCCGTACCATGTACTAAAACAACTAATTTTGACAACCCAATGGAGCAGAACGGCGTGATGTTGTTTTTAGACTATTTCTTTGTGCAAGTTTTAGCTATAAAAGGCGGATTTGGACATTATTAAAATCAGTCTATTGGTGGATCGAATTCCGACTGGTCGAATACTGGATGGAAGAACCAATACCGAGACTTGAATGCACAAGGACTAGTTTCTAGTGATATAAAACAGTAGGTTAACCTGGGGCTTGTATGCTGGGCTTTTATGCTGAGCTTGTATGCCGTATTTAACCTATTTGCTATCCTGCCACCCGTCCTGTAATTAATAATTTATCTACATTTAACATCCAAGTGAACATAACCTCACTTATATATTTTGCATTAAATATTTCTTCTTTATAGCCCCAGTTGCAAGTGAACCTGCCTGTCTGTGGAAAAAAACGGAGCCTGTACCTGCCTGTTGCCTTTTGGGGTATCAAAGAACGAAATATTGACCTGTTTGCACACATAACATTGTATAATACCTGTCTACGATAGACCTTTATTTTATGTATATATCCTTTACTTATTTTTCGATTTTGTATATATTGTATATATTTCTATGAAAGAATAAACAAGTTTAAGTTATTTTGGCATTTAAATTAAACCACAAAACCTGAACTGATTCTCAAACCCTATTTCTCCACTGTAAAGTTACTCGAGGTAGGTATTCTCTCTGTCGAAGAACTAGAGAGACCCTATAGTGCGTATTTAAGGCCATTACCAGCCTAGGTACGACACAATTTCAGTAGATAAGGTTTAAAGGATTTGCAACATTGGCAGTTTATTGATGTTAAAACTTAACAATTTTGCACAAATCAATATTCTTTTGTTAAAGGGTGGAAAACGAATATAAAATCTATGATGGCACTGTGGTCTAAGTTAAAAAGTGAGGGTTTTAAATCTTACCAAGATATTTAAATCAAGACCCAGGGGAAAACCTATTTTTTCGAATTCGATAACACTACACCATCTTGCTATCAATCTGTTGCTGCATTAAAAACAGTGATAATTAACCGTTTAAATGTCTTTTATTATTGTAAAAAATAATAATATTACAGCATCAGCAGCCTAAGTTTTACAAAATTTTTAGTCGATTCACAAACAAACAGTCAAGAATTAGAAACTGTAGTGGAACAAGCATTGTCGAATTGTACAGAAACACAAGGAACTGCCAATGTTGCTGGGTATTTTTTTAAGTAATAATAAAATACTTGATAGCAAAACTTGCCATTCCTCCCTTATTTCTGAAAATATTAGTCATACTTTTACTTCTTTTAAAGAATTCGATTATAATGTAAAGAAATTAAAGTATGCAAGGAAATTTTTAAAAAATGTATTAAACAGCATTTGCTTATGTTTTTTGAGCAGTTATTTTATATGTCAGGGTTAGAAGTTCTAAGTCTTAGAACCTAGTTTTAAAATACACTTTTTAAAATTTTTAAATAATTTTAATTTTTGCACTGAGCATAACTGCAAAGAAATAATTTTTAATCATGGTGTTAGACTTTCACTTTATACTTATATTTAAAAACTAAACATCAAAACTGGCCCCAAACACCACCAAAAACTTTTGAAATTATTTGTTTTGTGAATAAAACCATGTGATTTAACTAAAAAGAACTAACTAAAATTGTATGTTATATGATTGTGATTTATAATTACGATTTATTTTTATTTAATTTATAGAATTATTTTTTAATAAAACTTATAAAAACAAAATACAAAAACAATAAAAACAAAGACTTTTGGGGTTGTAAGCGAACACGTAGTGCAACCTGGGTTACAGCAAATAGTGTACATCATTTAAAGAGGAAAAAGGATCCAAGGAAATAAAAACCTACAAGATAAAAAGGCATTTCCTGATTTCTACTAGGTAAATAGTTTAATCTTTTATGAATGACATAAAAAAACAAAAAACTAATGCTAGAAGTAAAATTTGAGTATATAAATTATATGTGACCATAAGTGACCGTCACATTCATAAGTGTTAGACCAATTTTTAAAAGTGACCGATTTTAAAAATCGCGAGGGAATTTAACTTGTATCCTAACCTTAAAACGTTAGTAAATAATGTCTGAATTTGTTAATTGGGATTATTTAATAAACTTTATTGTTAATTTAAAAAAATGGGTAAGCCATCTTCAATAGTTTGGAATTATTTTGATAAAACTTTGAAAAATGGTAAAAAGTGGGCAAATGTGTGTTTTGTAAAGTTGAATATATAAGCCATGAAACCAGAATAAATAACATTTAAAAATCTGTAAAAAATGTCCAGATAACATTATAAAACTGTTATCTGGCAAAACTTTAGAAAATTTTAATACAAAAGTGTTGCAGCAAGTATACTTACATGACAAAACCCTAATTGTTGGTGACTTTTCCTATTTATTTTAGTTCACTAGTAAAGGGACTCCAAAAAAAAGTGTTGAGAACAAAAATTTGATTAATTATTTTTTTGACAAAGTTGACGTAAAATCCCAAGCCCAACTGGAAGTGCATCTGGCCCGTTCAATTCAATTTTGTACAGAAAAACACAAATTGCACTTAGAATTTTAGCTCTGCCAGCTGTGAAAGAAATTGGAAGAATCACTCTTTAATTAAAACCAAAATAAGAAATAGGCTATCAATTGAACGAAGAGAGAAGTTGGTTTTTGTAAAAGGTAACTTAAACCTTTTATCTTTTGAAGAAATCCAGACTGAAAGAACCAGACATGACATAAACAATAAGACGGTTATTAAATAACATTGTGAAAAAAAAAGTGAAAAAGACAATAAGACTGATATTACATTACATAGTGAAGATGAAGATGATGATGAAGACGATACATGTAAAAAAAAACAAAGAAGTTAATCCATATTATGATTTTGAAGATGATGAAGACAATACATGTGAAAATGAAAAGAACAAATAGGAAAATACATATTATTTTGAAAATGACAATAATAATTATTCATTTAAAATTAAAAAACTTGTTGATAACCTGGATGCAAACAAAATTTTTGTTGATGGACAAAATTTTTTTTATAACAATTAATTAACTTTCATATTTAATTCTTTAAAATTTTGATCTTAGAAGTTTTATTTAAAAATGTTTAATGTTTTTTTAAGTTTTATTTAAAAATCGAGTGATTGTTTTAATACGAAAATCAATTGTTTAAATTCCAAAAGTTAAATAATTTAATTGCTGAAGCAATTAAATTTAATTTATAAATCTCCAAGCATGGTCAAATATAAGATATTATGATTTTTTGTTTAAAAATATTAAATAATAATAAGCTTCAAGGCATACTCCAAAAATTAAATTTTTTGGTATATGAATAGGAATTAAATGCATTTAAAACCCACAAGAATTGATTGCTTTTAAAATTTCCATTTGAAAAATCCCTACAAATCATAATTTTAGTTTAAAATTTAAAAAATCTTAATTTTATTAATAACTTAACCAATTTAATAAAAAAAACACAAGTATTTGGTATCAATGAAAAGCTCTCAACGCAAGCTATTGTTTAAAGTAATGTTGTTACGTTTTTATAAGTGACGGTCACATGTAAATTTAGCGACATCGAAGGTCGTTCAGAAGAGGCGGTTGATTTAGGAGGCCCCTCACGAGAGGTATTTCGCCTAGTAATTGAATATCTACGAAACAGTAGGCTTTTTTTGGTGATAAAAAAAAATCAATTCATTTGGATCAAAAATCAAGGGGAAAAGGTCATTATTTAGGCACAGGTCGTTTAATATCATTAGCCCTTATTCATGGAGGGCCTGGACCCCATTTTTTTACGGAAAGTCTTTTTTCTCTTTTAACTTCGGGACCTGCAGACAATGTTCCTTATGTAGACGATTTGGAGGAGGATATTAAAAAAGAAGTTTTGAAATTAAATGAAATAGAACATATTAACGTGCTCCAAGATTACTTGACAGAAGAACCTATATTTGCGATAGCAGGTCGTCATTTTAAAAAAAGAATGGAAGAGAAGCAAACGGTATTTAGAGGTAATGGTAATTTTCAAACAATGGAATATTTTTTATACATTATTTTTTAGACATTGTACAATTTTACGGTTTTCACCGAGTTCGACCTGCATTAAAGCAACTAAAAAATGGGCTAGAAACAGGAAATGTGCTGAACTTGATAAAAAAGTATCACTGCTGATTTCATGCAGAATTTGTTTTCGGTAGAGTTTTCGGAAATTGGGAGTTCAAAACGATTGATCGAAAACAGAGTTATAGAACACCCTATATACTACAGTATTTAAATGGAAATTGTGAAAATATCTTGTTTGTCCCGAAGTTGGAGCATGCTCTTGCGGTTTTTCTGTATAGAGGAAGAAAAAACATTTTTTTTTCGGCAAAAGTAATTTTAAGTAGGTACCTGTAGTGTAACCCCCGTATTAAAAGTTAATGGATTTTACCCTCCTCAAGGATTTAATCATTCTTCTTTACTTGATTGTTTTGGTTTTACATCCCTGGAAACAAGAAGAATAAATACGTCATTGACATTTCTATTTAAGTTATTAAATAATAAAATTGACTGTGATATAATCTTAAATAAAATCAATTTTAACGTACCCAGAATTGAATCGCGCTCAATGCGCACTTTTAAATGTCAAATCTGCAGAACCAACGTACTACCTAAAGCTCCAGTAAATGTTATGTGTAAAAACTTTAACCATTTAAACCCTATCATCGATATACATCACTCTTCACTTAACTATATCTTATTTAATTCAAATGTGTTACAATGATTGTTTGTTTATTTTATGTATATTCTTTGGTAATACCTTGTTTATTGTCGTTAAATATTATATATAACTGTTTTTTAAGTATTGTATTTATATATTATTAATTGTTTAGTTGTTATGATACTTCTAAATTGTGCTTTAAAATAATTTATACAATTGTTTTTTATTCCTATACTAGTATATTAAATTTTGTCCTGTAACTGGTTTTAAACTGTTGGGCAATAAAGTATTTATTTATTTATTTATTTATTTATTTATCCATTCATATTCAAGTAATTTTCACTTGTACGTAAGAAATGAATTAAATTAATTAAACAACTTTTTTTAAAAGAATATACATAAATAAAGTATAAAGAAAACATGTAAATAACATCCTAACCAAACTTAAGTTTGAACAGGGTTCCCACCAAGAAAATGAAACAAAATTCCCTGACTTTTCCAGGTTTTCCAGACCAATTTTCATCAATTTCCAGCAATAATTATAGGTACTATGCTCCACCTCAAAGTCCCACCACGTGACCAAGTACGGAACGCAGTCTTTTGAAAATTTGGCATTTAAGGCTTTTCAGGTTATGTATCTGTCAAAGTATAACATGGTTGGTTTAAGAATTTACGAATATAAATACTGCATTTAATGAAATTCCAAAGTGTAAGGTGCAATATAAGTGATATTTTTGTGCATTTGGTCCAAATATCTGGTTTTCTCCATAAAATAGTTTTAACTAAACAGAATTTATTAAAAAAAATCTAACTTCTCTATTATGAAATAAGAATATCTGTATTTGATATATCAAAGATAGGTTAATGTATTAGAACAAAAAATTTCATCTAATTTTGTATTTTAAGGTTAGAAAAATCTATTTTGACCAAAATAAATAAGTGGATTATTTGGAAGAGTGTGTTAATTTGGTCATAAATAAATATAGGTATACTAAATAATTGTTGAATATGGTTCAAATTAAAATGAAGCTCTTATACTTCTAATGACAAAACTTCTGCATACCTCTCGGCATACCTACTTTAAGTTATGTAGATTATAAGAAAACAAACAATTTTTAGAGAAACTTGCAATGTGAAAATATTTAATACTCCCATGACATGTTATTTATTAAAATTTTTAAAGTTATAATGATTTTTTGATGTAGATCAAATTCAGTCGAAGCTTTTTAACTATTTTTATTGACAAAACTTTATGTAGGATAAGAAAAACTACCACATTTTTAAATACCATATTATACAGTCTTTTAAATAATCCAAAATACTTATTTATTTTGGTCAAAATAAATTTTTCTAACCTTAAAATTACAAAATTAGATGATATTTTTGTTATAATATATTAACCTACCTTTAATACAGATATTCTTATTCCATAATAGAGAAGGTAGATTTTTTTAAATAAATGCTGTTTAGTTAAAATTATTTCATGGAGAAAACCAGATATTTGGACCAAATGCACAAAAATATTACTTATTTGGCACCATACACTTTGGAATTTCATTAAATGCAGTATTTATATTCTTAAATTCTTAAACCATCCATTGTTATTCTAATGTTATAAAGATTTATACATTTTTAACGCCTAAACATAATATTATTTCTTTCGTTGACTATACTTTGACAGATACATAACCTGAAAAGCCTTAAATGCCAAATTTTCAAAAGACTGCGTTCCGTACGTGGTCACGTGGTGGGAATTTGAGGTTTGGAGCATAGTACATGTAAAGTAAAAATATATTTTATTTTTCTTTTTACAATTTTTTTTTTAACATTTCTTAAAATATAATAAAAAAATTAAACAGAACATTCATAAATAATTTGAAAGGAAACAAACTTAGTTTATAAGGTCATACATTTTATAAGTATTTGCGCAAATGATTTATTTTAGTTTCAATGCCCGGCTATATTATTTTTAAAAAATAATCTTCGGCCGGTAATAAAAATAAACAATTTTCGGAAAAATCAAGAAAAATTAGTTAAATTCCCTGACTTTTCGTAAAATTCAGCAAATTCCCTGACTTTTCCCTGACTTTTTTACTAATATTTAATTTCCCTGACATTTCCAGGTTTTCCCTGTTTTCCAGGTGAGTGGGTACCCTGTTGAAACAAACTGTTTGGTCTATTATTGAGTGGTAATGGTTCATTCGCATTGTCAATTATATTGTGCAATAAACAGCCGTACGTGCGTCCGCAACAATGGCCAATGTTTGAGCAACTTAAATTGGACAAAGTTTGGCCAAATATAACGCTATCAAATAGTTCATTCGCAATGATTGTGCAAAAATAAGTCAATATTTGTTGAATTAAATTGACCCAATAAAATTGACCTAGGATTGAGCCCAATCAAATGTTTGCCAGGTATTTTTGCCGAAAAAAAAATTTAATGTTTTTTCTTCCTTTATACAGAAAAACCGCAAGAGCATGCTCCAACTTAGGGACCAACAAGATATTTTCACAATTTTTGTAAGTCTATTTAAATACTGTAGTATACAGGGTGTTCTACTTAAAATGGACAACGCTCGAGATCTATAATCTCTATATACGTAATATTACGTTATGTATCCATTTTGACTGAAAACACCACACAGTATAATGTGGATCATAATGTTGAAAAAACGAACTGTACCCGATAAATTGTGTATTATTAACATTAACATGATTTATTTAGTTCCAGCATATTTACTTAAAGATTGTGTACAAATATTTGTCACGCCTTTAACTAAAATTTTTAATATAATTATTAAATCCAGTACTTTTCCATCTAGATGGAAAATTACAAGAATTACTCCTGTATTTAAATCAGATAAATCTAACTATATTGACAACTATCGTCCAATACCGCCGAAGCACAGAGTGGTATTTTTGCCAAAAACCTGGCCAAAAATATTTTTTTGGTTTCTATACATTATAACGCGTTATAAAGTTAATTTATAAGTAAAAAAGTCATTTTCAAGGACATACTAGTGATAATTGATACTAATTTTATATGAAATAACTAAATATTTATGTAGGATAGGTATGAATAAAAAAATAAAAAAATCTAAGAATGAAATTGTATTTGCCATAAATTGAAATATTAACTTTAAGAAAATATACAGTTCCTAATCACTATCATCATTGAAATCCATACTTGGTTTGAAAAAATCCAATGTATCCTTTGAAAATTCCTGTTTTTTTCTCTTATTTTTAGGTTTAATGCTACTTAAGTAAGGATCCGAGGTCAACAAGAGCCTATTTAGTACGTCTTGATTACATTCCGTTCTGGAAAATTTTCTTGAGAAGCTTTCCCTGTACTGGCGGAAGTGTTTGTTCCTGGCTTCCGCAGCTTCCTCCGATAACTGGCCGATTGGCAACAAAGCATGTGTAATAACACTTGGTGCGTGTATTAAAATTTTATGCACTGTTGGTGACATAGGTTGCCAAGGATATAAATGTACGTAGTGCTTCGCCGTATCCATAGTGTACGTTGAAAATTTTTCCACGTCTATTTCGAAGCCCGAAGATAACACCTCTAATATTATTTTAAATCTTTTTATCAATTCAAAATCTATTTCTGTGATGGAAGCTGCTTCTTCTGGAATTTTAAAAAATCTACGTGACGTATTACCATCATTGGTGTTACCGAATCCGGCTTTTGGTATGTCCACCAGCAATCCCATCTTCTCGCGAAATTCTTTTTGGAGATTTTCTTTAGCAGTTTGGATTTTTTCTTTTTCACTTTTTAATGTAACACGACTTCTATGTACGTTTGCCTTTACTTTATATGACAGATGTATTAGGAATTCAAAAAACCTTATTCGGGCGTGTAGTATTGATAGGCCAAATTTGAATGTCTCCGGTTTTTCTGTGCTTTCCATTGTCAAGTCATTAAAACTTTTTGATGTTTTTCCGCAAATAAAGCAGCGCATTGTCGATGTTGTATTAGTAGCAGCATTGCACACTTTACCATCTACCATTGTTGGCAGTAATATGTGCTGTACATGAATACCCTCCTCTACATTTGTAGCTTGAAGATTATTGGCCTGATTTTCCACGTAATCCATTTCCTCATTAGTAATGTCTTTATTTTCTTTAACAAATCTCATCCTGATAGGCCTACAAAACCTGGGTGATGATGGACAAGGGTTCTGCCATATAATTTTTTTTTCACACATAAGTCTCACTGGCACAAGGGAACTCAAAAACATATTACCATCGCTATCACTGTTATCTTTAAACTTTTGCTTATATTGCTTTTGTTGGGATCCATCACATCCCCACTTAAATATAAGAACAAAATTTTTATATTTATTTCCATAGACCTCGATGACTGGTTCCAAATACTTCCATAGTCTCAAAGTTGTGTGATTAACCAAATCTTGCAGTTTCACCTCAGCAAAAGATTCGCCAACAATGTTTTGTGGGTAGCAACACA